GGGACTTAATGCAGCTGGAATAATACATTAATAAACAATAAGCCTGACTTACAAGGCTGCCAGCTCCTTGAACTTGGATTTCTCAGCTTCTAGAACCATGAGAATTGAATCTGTTTGTAAGTGGCACAGTTTATGTTATTTTGTCATAGCTATAAAGGGGCTAAGCCAAGCTTATTTGTATTCAAAAATGTGAGCTCTAGCAAAGTAGTCAGCAAATAAGAGACTCAGGGAGCCTCCTCTCTGAGAAGGAAACAGAAAAGCTGAGCGGTGCTGTGGAAATGCCCTCGCTCCATCCTGAGCTGCTCGGCAGCCTCATCTTTCTGGTGGGGCTTGAGCTTCTCTCTAGGTCATGGCCAGTCTGGTTGGTGAGGTGACTTTTCCTCTCCCGTACTCACTGCACTTGAGAAACTATACACCTCCAGTCTCCCTTGGGAGCAGAGGAGTATTGGCTTCTGTCCTCCATTGGCCTCAATGGCTCTGCCTGCAAATCAACCCATGGTTTTCTTTCTTTTTATTCCCAGACAGGAGTTATTTCCCTCTATGACTGTGTCTTTAAGAGGAGGTTAGATTATAATCAGAAGTTGCACCGAGATGACAGAGAACATGCGAAAAGCCTGGGACTTCATGTTAATGAAGAGGTAACATTGACAGAAGGGGTTAACAAGTTGTTAATAGATTAATAAGAATGTGCACATGGACAAGCATACTGGATTTAATTGCACTTCACTGGGCTTCCCAGATACTGGGTTTTTCACAAACTGAAGGTCGGTGACAACCTTGTGTCAAGCGAGTCTGTTGGTGCCATTTTTCCAGCAGCTTGTGTTCATTTTGTGTCTCTGTGTCAGCACTTTTTAGCAATTTTTTGAAGTTACGTATATTGTTATATATATATAATGCTATCACACACTTAATAGACTACAGGACAGCATAGATATAATTTTTGTATGCACTGAGAAACCTGAACTAACCCCGAGGTGAATCTCAGGTATGCTCGCATGTGGGTGCATGTGTCCAGTCACAGTGCGTAACGGTGGGATGTGTCCTGAGAAACCCATCACCAAGTGATGCTGTCATTGAGTGAACATCACAGAGTGCTTGCACTAACCGAGGTAATAGAACCTCCCACACACCTCGGTGCTGGGGGAATAACCTACCGCTCCTGGGCATGTAACTGCACTGAGTACTGTGGGCAATTATAAGACTAAGGTAAATATTCGTGTATCTAAACTTATTGAAACATACAAAAGATACAGTAAGAATATGATATAAAAACAAAAAATGGTACACCCACAAAGAGCACTTAATGTGAATGGGGCTTGTAGACTGACAGTTGTTCTGTAAGTCAATGTAAAGGTCAAGGACATCACGGTACACTACTGTAGACTTTATAAACACTGCACACTTATGCTACATTTATAAAAAAATATGTCTTTGATAATAATAATCTTAGCTGACTATAACTTTTTAATTTTTGAAAACTTTGGCTCTTCCATATTAACACGTAGCTTAAAATACAAACACATTGTACAACTATGCAAAAATATTTTCTTCCTTTCTATCTTCATTCTGTAAATGTTTTTGTATTAATTTTTTTTTTAATTTTGAGCTTTTTTGTTAAAAACTAAGACATAGGCAGTGCCTGTGGCTCAGGGAGTAGGACACCGGCCCCATATACCGAGGGTGGCAGGTTCCCAGGCCAAACTGCAACAACAACAAAAAAATAGCTGGGTGTTG